CGCTCGCCCTGCCCACCTGGATTGCTTCTGTAGCTGCGGTGTTGACACGTCCCGGAAATGCTTTTCTCCTCTGCTCTGGAGGCTGATAATGCTAAACCACAGAGAAACCTGTTGCACTCCCAGTCTGCTCCTGTGCTCATTTTGCACTGCATTCCCATGTGGGCACGCCTGCGGAGAGATGTGCTAAGCTGCATTCCCCTGGGAGCTGCCAGAGCGTGCTGTAGTCTGTTGAGAACTGCTGCTTGCCATCTGTTGTTAAAATGGGCAGGAGAGAACACAGGACCGTGATAGGTTGTAGTGAGGTACCTGAGGATATAGCACCCTCCCCTATGGCTCTGTCCAGACCAGCAGGATCAGGCCTCTTGGAGTAGCTAAGATGATACTAGAATTTAAATTTCTTTCCCAGATCCAGCAGAGGAGAAACACATCCCTTGTTCCTAGAGGTCTCGTGGGAACAGCGAGATGTCTCTGTCGTTCTGCCTATACAGCTGGTTCTGCTGGTTTGAGCTTGTTCAAGTCCAAAGCTTAGGGATTTCTACACACAGGGATGTGCTTGGATTGAGGAACTTGCAACAATTTCCCCCCTAATGCACGATCAGTGTGTTAGCACAGACCCACGTCTTTTCCCACATGGTCTGGCTGGATCAAGCGTGGCCAGAGTTTGTTGTGCTCCTGCCCAATAGTGTGAGCTTGGTTCAGTGGGGACGTCCAGAGGCCAACAGGGCTAGGTACAGGTGGAAAAAGGGAGTGTAGGCAATGAGGTACAACCAACCTGCTGTGACAAGATCCTCAAGAAGAGATTTTAAGATAGCTCCTGCCTTTAGGGGACAGTAGAGGTAGGTGATGGGAGTTTTGGAGTGACGATTGGGCTAGGATGGAGGATGAGCAATTCTGTCTGAGGAGATGCATGGGTCGGCAAGGAGCTGCAGATAAGGGGGAGTCTTACTTGAGGCATACGTGCTCTGGAAATGAGGAACTTTCAAGGCAGGCCAAAAACAGGAGGGCAGGGGGAGGCAGTGAATATCCCCTGTCTTAGATGAGGGAAACGGGCATTTTTCCATGTGTAGCTTCAAGGAACTGGGACAAAACAGAAGCCAAAAAATTTCCTCTGAGACACAACTCTAAATGACAGGATTGTCCCAGCTGGTTCAGATCTGCTGGTGACCTGAGGTGAAGGGGCCCAAAGTAAAACTCACTAGTTAACTTGGAAATTTAGGACAAGGTCAGGCGAGAGGGGAAAGTTTTCCCCGGGTAGCAGCTGTGACATAGCTCCAGCAAGTGCCAGGGAGGGTCCTGCCAGCAGGACTCAGGTCTGACCCACCTTTGCCACGCGCACAGCGTAGAATTTTTCTTCCCTCTCAGGTTGTCAAATTCATGCCCAGCTAACCGGCAAATCCATCTCTTCAGAGATCAATTACAGTGTCTGGCTGCGAAGCCTGGAAATCCAATTAACTCCCAAATATATATTTTTTTTCTGTTTGAAAAAAGAGAAAGAGAGAGGGGGGAGAAAGAGAGAGACAGAGAGAAATAAGATGGAAGCGGGGGCATAAATCAACTCGAAAACATTCCAAACATTAAAACAAACAAGGCTGAATTTCAACTTCATTTGTCTTTTTTTTTTTTTTTTTTTTTTTAAACCTCTGTCATTGATTGATTTTATTGCTGTGGTCCAAACCTGATTTTTGTCTTTGCTCAGTTTCAGAATCACTTGATGTCTCTGGAGTGGAGCTCTGGGGCCTGATGCCTCCTAGCAGTGACTCCTAGTACAGCACTCTCCCCACTTAGGTCTTCATCCCTTTTGCAGAGCTGTGATTAGCTCACCTGAGATTTGAGGAGGTTAAACGGATGCCATTTGATAGGGCATTTGTGGACTGATGAAAATGGTTGCCCAGCTGTTTCTAGATCCAAATGGAATTGAGAGTTTGGGTGAGGAACGTGACCTGCCTGACTTCCAATGAAGAAATAACTCTGCTTTTTAATCACAAACTTCTGTGGGTTTTTTGTTTTTTGAGATTTTTTTTGTGTAGCCCTTAGAATCTGGCTGTTCAGATTTAACCTCTCTGTCTTGATCTCACAACCTTGATCTTTTAGGGAACACAACCCATTCCAGCACCTTCACAGTGTTCTCTGGTCTCCCGAGGGCTTAAAGGAAACTCTTCTCTACCAGACAGTGAAATACTGTCCGCATAGAAGCACACTGTGTGCGTTCAAGTGCCTGAAGGTGTATGCAAGCCCCAGGGGTGGCTCAGACAGATGACCTAGTAAAGTAAGAGAAGCGCTAGGAAACAGTGGGGGAAAAAAACGGCCAAAAAGAAAGGATTAACATATATGTGAAGTCCCTAGCTTCAGAAACCAGCCAAAGGGTAAGCCTAGCAAGGGATCAGTGATATGACTGGTTATGGAAACAAGTGGCGGGTTCACGTATGGGTGTGCACTTGCCTGAATGTTGGTGAACAAGCAAGGCAATGTACGCATGAGATGTGGTAAAAATCCCCTTTGCCCCTGACATGACTCTCTGCCATCACGTACCCTGATATCTTGCCTGGTGGTATCAAAGTCTTTCTGGGATTTTGGGACTGACCCCACTGGCACACAGCAGTGCTTCTGGTGACTGTAGCTTGATGTCATTGTGCCAAAGTTGTGCATGGGTCATTTGATGTAGAGGTAAGAGTGATGGATAACCTTGTCTTCGTTTTGAGGATCACACCTTAAAAAGGAATGCGGGCACTGTCACTCCTATAGTTTAGCTTTGATCTTGATTGTGGTCAGCCAGTGGTATGACTAGGAGGATTCAAGAGGAATATTTTTGCTCTCTTTTGTCTCTCAAATCTCCACTGTTTGGCTGAAGACATTTTGAGGGTAGGGTTGCAGGCACCTAACCGTGGTGGGTTTAGTGTCAGTGACGGATATCTGACATTTGTACAGCAGCTGCAGATGCTCAAGAGCCGGGCAGTGAGAGTAGTTGCATGGAGGTGTCAAGTCCTGGTCTCTGAGGCTGGAAAACCTCTACTCTCACTCAGACAACGGGGATTTGAACCTTAAGCATCCGTGCTTTTGTCGGTAGTCCCTGTTCCTCTCCTTCAAGAGGCTTTAATTTCCATTCCTGAGTAGAATGAATAATCCTTGGGGGCTGTTGTGAAGAGAAATTGTCACCCTTCCTTCAGCGCTATCAGAAACTCTTCAAGAGGCAGGTAACAAATAACCTTCCCTTGGGATAAATTAGCTCCCAATCCCAGTTCGATAGTTGCTCATTTTAAGATGTCCTTGTTACCTTGTGCGAGTGGCTGATCTTCCTTTGAATCCTGCTGTGTTTTCAGACCCCGTGATTGCTACAAGCAATCATGAGTTCCACGTTAACAGTTTTCATGCACTGATTGCACTGAGCAGTCCCAACACAACCTTTTGTGAAAAGTTTTTTGAAAGTTGAGCTCCATGCTATGCTATCAGAAAGCTACACAGGTCTCACTCCATCACATATTCTGGCAAACTGACTCTTTAAAGGAGAAGTCGTTTCCAGGGGCTAGGGTGCAAAGAAGATCTGTGCTTCCAAATTCCAGGGTTAGAAAGAAAATCTTGTCTGCATTGTCAAGGAAACACGTTACTGGTGCAGAGTTCTCCAACTGAGCCTCCAGGCAGCCTGAAGCAAAGGCTGTGAGATGTGCAAATAGTAATCCAAATTGATCTTTTTTTTTTTTCTCCCACCCAACATTACTATGAAGTAGGAAGGTGGCATCAGAATAGCCTAGAAGAGAAGAGAACTTGCATCAGAAAGAAAATCAGCTGCCATCTTGTCTTGTCTGGACCTTCCAGTGAGAGAACTATTCCCAACGTTGTCGAGAACTCTCTCATGTGCCAAAGTTATTGCCACTGTTTGCAAAAATAAGATATCCTAGATAGTAGGCCTCAGCAAAACTGAAACACATGATTTTTCAAGGGTGCTTTAATGTATGTCCTTGGCTTTGAAGATCATTGTGAGGTTTTTATTTTCTCTCACACCAGCAGCGGCGGCTCTGGTTTAAGATACCTTATGTCAATTAAAAATCTCTTTAATCAAACACTGGCAGGGGAAACGTTCAAAACATTTGAAGAATGACTCCTAAAAGCTGCTACTTGACTGTGAGTGAATTCATCCAGAGATTGGTCTGCCAGGCTGGCATGCGATTCAAAGTCTCAACTTGCCTTTATTTCCAAAGCTGCCAGCAAACTGCAGTGGTAGGTATCAAGAGAAATCTGCGTCAAACAGGACAGAGCAGGCTGTGGCCAGTTCTCTTCCAGGAGGTATTACCCCAGCAAACCTTCCTTATAGACAAAACCCAGTAGTGAATTTATCAGTCCATACTGGCCCTTCAAATTCCTGTATCGCAAATCCATGGGATAGATTAGGTCTCTTAATTTGAAATGTGAAACTGGGCTAGAAATCATTGCTGTGCAAATCGTGTAGGTCTTTTTTCTTTTCTTTTTTTTTTTTCTCCCTCTGTTTCATGGCTGAACTGGACTTCAAAAGAATAAATAAAATCTGTTCTGGTAGCCCCCAGTGAGGAGTGTGCTTTTTTGGAGAAAGAAAGAAAAAATTAACCAACCCAATATTTTATTCAACCCAGAGTGAAGCTTTTCAGTTTTGGTGAATTCAACTAATTTTCTTACTCCTCAAAATAGGTCAACTTTGAAATAGAAATGTCATGTTGAAACAAAAAGTTGAATAGATCTGTTTCGAAAATGTAGAATTATGTATATATTTGGGAGTTGAACAAGCTTGCGAATGGGAAGGAAACATCCAAGCTATTTAGAATTAAATTAGACTTGAATTTGGGACGAGTTTTCAATTTCCATACACTGCATTTTTTTTCATTTAAAACAGTCCCCTTCCCCCATACTCTCTTCAAAAATCCCTTTTCCCAGCTGTAGTTGAAAATATATAGCTATAATATAGCTGGAATATAACTGGAACAATTATATCTATCAACTAATTGCTGATTTTTTTTTTTTTTTTTTTAACTTTCCCAAGGCTCTTCAGACATCCAGGCGTGTTCACTTGGGAGTATTAGCGTTTGGGACTGAGGTATGGAAAACCGAGGCTTATGCAGTTGGAACGATTATCATGGAAAATTTATTCCAGCAACCCTCTCCTCCCCTACAGGACTTTTCAAACCTTTGTCTCTTTTCTCCCATTCTGCTGCAGATGTCGTATACCGCACCTTCCTTCCGTTACCAACAATCTTAAAAAAACACTCTCCTTTCTTTTTTGATTGTTTTTCTATATTTCTATACCGTCTCTCTTTGCTACGTTGGTTATATATGTGTCAGTAGTAAGTTATTCTCCGTTCTCATGCTGGGGAGGGGTTGGGTTCCTGACTGTTTATTGAGCAATAAAAAGAGAAAATTACGAGCCGTTGCCCAGGGATAACGTGCTAATAATTTTATGACTGGACAAATGGTTGGAATGGCCCACAAATGGTAGTAAGCTGGAAACCTAGTATCTATTGTAGATAGAGCCCCGCCTCAAGGAGATAAAAAAAAAAAATCACTTCTGGTAATCAAAGTTGATGGAACAACTGTGATCTATTAAAAAATTACTTCAGGGATGGGTTGGGTGATCATTATTACTTTTGGAACAAAAGTGGCAGAGATGCTTTTTGGAATGTGTTTAGAAGTTAGTGCTACAAAGAAGGAATGGAGCAGACCACCATGTCTGCATGCGCTCAGATTCACACCGCCCACAGCTGCAGAGCAGGAGACGAGGTTCTTGGGAAAACCGAGGTTAAAGGGTGTTAATGCTATCAAATAAACACAAATCATCCCAGAGATAAGCAATGTCTAAAGAAACTTAAACCCTTTCATAATTATATGGCACCCAAGTCCACTGAGTAGTGGCCCAACTTTGGTGTGGCAGAGCAAGAATCTTCTGCTACTGAGTAAGCATTGGCAAACCCAACAGTAACGGTCTGTGTGACCGTAACGTCTGTTGTAACTTCTTTCCAGTGCTACAGAGGTCAATGGAGAATTGGGTCAGACTCTGTGTCTGTCTCCCGTGAAGCAGGATGAGCTATACCTATTCCAAACCAGCAGCAAATCCAGCCCTTGAAGCGGGCAGGAAGCCATGCAACTGGGAGTAGCTGTTCTCAGCTGCCAAGACCTCACATTTGTATGTTAGTGATGCAGACAGACTCTCGTAAACCAGTCTCCATCCTGCTTTACTGCTGATTTAATGGTCGGAGGAAGAACTTGACTGTTTATTAAAACATTAGACAGTAAAGTTTAACAATAGACAGTAAAGGGTTTTGTTTTTCCATCCTTCTGATTGTTAAAGCAACATCGAATTGGCTTGGAGAGGGACATAACCTCTAACCTCTCTACCCAGCGCTCATGGCACCGGATCGAGCTACGACTGGGCAGCGCTCCTTCCATCAGACAGGAAGAAGCAGCTGGCCTGGCTACTTCCGTGCTTGGTAACTCCAGTATCTGAAGAAGGAAATCCTAAGTATGGATGAGGCCTCACTTCATTGGGTTGTCTCACAAGGCTGGCTAGCTAATGGCAGAAGGGATGCAGCAGCCCAGCTGTCTCTTAAGCCCTCTGTTGTTACTAACCAGCAGTGCTAACTCTCACTGTACAAACCTTGCCAGAGGTATTTGCTTCATCACCCACTGCTTCTTCCTCCCTGGCAGAAGGCATCTCTGCTAAAAGGCCCTGGTGGGAGCCAAATTCTCCAGCATGCTGCATGAGTGTGGAGGATGGAGGATCTCTGTCAGCTCTTTTGTCCTCGTACCAGCCAAAGCTCTTAGCCAGTTTGGGTCCAAAGCCCATTTGATAGCTGGATTTAAAAATATGTTCAGGCATCCGCCGGTGCAGCTGGACACGTAGTTTTGAATTATGAAAGTGGGTCCTTAGGTTCTTTTGTAACTTCCACGGGCAGTGGGGTTTTCTGTCCTCACATTACCTCTTAATCGTGGTTCCTAAGCTGAGCTGGCTGGCTGGGCTTCTCCTGGAGTTGGTGGAGAATGGCAGTATTTCCTGGGTTGACTCGTCCTATCTAAAGAGTTTAGTCAGCCTCTAGAGGGTTGGTGTCTCTCCACAGGCTGTGGTGGGACTCTAGATAAAGTCTTCTGGAAATTTGACGTATAGGCAAGTTAAGGGAGAAGAGGCAGATCTTAGTTTTAAGCCCTAAAACACTTTTGTAAATTTGGCCCTCGGCCTCCATCTCCTTGGTCCCCCTTAGAAAAGCCTGATTGTAATCGTGGCAGTCCTAGTGAGGGAGGATTGGTGGGCTTCCTTACACCTTCATGATTTTTTTAAGCCCCAGGCAAGCCAGAAGCAAGTTGCCTTCTAGCTGATGTCTCAGTCCTGACAGAGGTTGCCATCCAGCAGATATCTGGTAGATCCTGCTGGACTGTGCGAGTCGTTCAGGTGTAGTAGAAGCTTGTGCTCTCCTCTCGTGTTGCAGTGGAGTGTGAAATCCAGGTTCCTCTGGAGGCCAACCTCGTGGGTGAGGAGAATGGGATGAAAGCTCATTCATGAGGGAGCTTTATCCAATGACTAGGTGCAGTAGGATCAGACTCCAAATCTGAGAATAGAGTAAGGTGTGCCTTTGCTGGATGTGAAGGGGAACGAGGGACAGAAAGCAAATGCGCACATGTACGGAGAGGAAAAGAACGGGTTTAATTTGGTCGTGGTCCTGGCATAAAGCAGTATTTGGATGAGCTCCGAACATTAAGAGCTTATTAGCTGCTTTTCTAAAGCCCTCATAAAAGACTTTCAAAAACATAGGTACCATGGGATAGGAGAAAGGTGCTGTTGTGGACAAACAGCCTGCTCAAACAAGGTGTGAGAAAAAGTGATGCCTTTTCACTGTGAGGGGGGATTACACATGAAGTCTTCAAGGGGGCTGTGGTAGGGCTGGTGGTGTTCAACATATCCATGAACGATCTGGAAAAGGGAGCAGACAGAGAACAGAATGTGCCAGGGCACAGAATTATTCAGGACAGCGCTACCAAAAGCTGCCAGTGAAGAAGGGCAGAAGGACTGCGGCGTGCCGATGGCTACGTGACAAAATGGCAGAGGAAATTCACTGTTGATAGCTGCACACAGAGAAAAATCAACTGTAGCTGATACCTATACGGTGACGAGGTCTAAATGAACTATTACCTCTCTGGAAGGAGACTGTAGAGGCATTGCAGACTGTTTCTGAAAATGTCAGCGGCAATCACAACGGCAAGGGAATGTTAGGAATTACAGAGAGAGAAACAGAGACTAAAACAGAGCCTGTCATTACGCTACTGGATACGTCTGTGGTGCACCCGCATCTTCAATGCGTGTGTGTAGTTCTGGTGTTTGTGTATCAGGCTGGCAGCTACAAGGAAAGATGTGAAAGGGAGCCGGTTATGGAGTACCTTTTGTAGCAATGGGACCTCAAGAGATCGGGACGCCTTGATCTGAAAAAGACAGAAGTGAAAGAGCAAACTAGGCCAAGGAAGTTGTGCTGGCATGGGGAAGGTGGACATGGAGCTAAATAGACCTCTGTTCTGGCCAGTGCTGCATAGGAAACCGCACCCAGGCTTGGTTCTCTGTATTCGATCGTTGCCTCAAGAGCGTGCCTGTTGGGGAGTGCCGGGCTACCCGCAAGGCAAGCGAGATGCCTTGGCTGGTTTCTCCTCTTCTTCAGGGAACTGCTTCTAAGTGCTAAATGCGAGTAGAGGAGAGATTGCGTTTTGATGTTAGGTACATACGAGTAAGAAGGCTCTACTTCCCTTAAATTCTCCCTGGGACAAAGGCCAAGGAAGCACGAGACCAGGCTGGCTGATCAGGGCCAGCACCCAAAAAGTAAATCATTGAGGGCACATTGTAAGAAGTGGCACGCCTGGCTAGACCCTTTTTATCATTTGCCCCTCTTCGTCCCATGTCGTCCTTGTCCTGGCCATTCCCCGTGAGCCACCTCTGGCTTAGGAACAACTGTAAGCCTGTAAGCCAAATGCTAGAGCAGGAAGGTGCCCTTGTGCCTCGCTTTGTCACCTGGGCTGCACTGGATGACAGATCTTTGACCTAAAAGACTTAAGTGGACTCGCCCTGACTGCTCAGCCTTGGGAAATATCCATAAGTCTGAGGATACAATTCTGGCCCCAGAAAAGACAACTGAGTGTTTTCTCATTGACTCCATTGGGACAGAATTTAATTCCCAATTGTAAAGATCTTAAAAATCAGCTGTGATATATAACTAGTCGTCTTGGCCTCTGAATACTTCAGCAAGATTGGCAGCGCTTAGGTGGGGCCGTGGTCTGGATTACTGGCAAATTCATAGGTCAAGCCAGAAAATGGGAAGCCTGCCTTGAATCGAATCGGGCTGGGGAACTGGAATTGCTTCTGGTTGTGACTGCAGTGTGGGGAAAGAGCTCTCTGTGTCAAGCTGAATAGCAGCAAGAAGTCCTTTGCTTTTTAAGCACCTGAATGCTCTTGATGTATTTTTGTTTGTGCGTATGCAGTTTGGAGCGTGTGTTTGTGCGTGACTATTTATATGCGTACACACATGCACACTTACGTCCCCACACGTACATGCACCAAAATTTCCTCAACCTGTGTCTTTCTCTTAAGTTAGGAAAATACAGACAAAAGAATAAAAATAAGTCTCTTATCATTGCTAAGTCATCAGAAACTAGTATTATATCTAGTGGGCTTTTTTTTCCTGAAACATCCCCACTTCAAGATCCTAATTTAGTGATTCTTTCTGTAGCTCTTTACATTGTATTATTTATAAGAAACAATATTCAGCCCTCCCTTGACAGTATTTGCAGGGCTGCAGAAAGCAGTGCGGTAGAAAGGTGGTAGAACAATTTTGGTTATGTTTCCATAGCTACCTAGCTGCTAAATGTGGTTTATTCCATTATAAAGTCAACCAACACACACACACACGCACGCACGCACGCACACTCACACGGGCACACACACCCAAATCGCCAAATAAGTATATTCCAGCTAATCTCTGATCTGCCTATTACAGTCTAATGCTCCTGTGATTTGTATATTTAAAGGGGTACTTGCTGCATAAATAAATGGCAAGAGCGTTCTGGCTGGGTGTAGCAGGATGATAAACATATTGTTTCTTTCCCGTTCCCCTCTCCGCTGTGTGTGTTCCAGTTGGTTCTTGTAACATTATTATGGATATTTTTACCAAGCGTTGTGCTTTGAGGAAGTCGGAGGTAGGATGGTGTCCTCTCGTGGTAACTAGCGTCCTTGCAGCCTTCGACCCAGCAGCGCTAGCAGCCATCCGTGAAAAAGAACTGGGAAAAGCCTACCAGGATGTGCTAGGACTGTAGGGGCATTTTAGGGGCAAACCTCCTCGGCCAGAGGTTTCTACTTCTGCGAGCAAATGCAAAGCCAGCTCTGCGGTCCACCTTCCCCTGGTACGGGAAGAAGGTGGAGCGAGAAATGCAGCGCTGGGCTTGCTGATTGTGCACTGTTCAGTGCAGCAGGCTGGAGGTTGCTCGTTGCACTCCGTTTCCCAAGCCCATCACTGATTTAAAAAATAAAGTGAAGGAGAATAAAAGAAAATGAAGGATTGGGATGGGAAGGAGTGGAACCAGCTTTCTAGAGCATAGCGAGTCCATCCTATCAAAGTGCGCCTCTCTAGAGGTAGCTGTAGTGCTGCTGTGTTTAGATGGTGGTTATTGTTAGGGGCCATCCCACAGGTTGTCTTTGTGGGTAACACCACTGCTTCCCAGCAGCTAGACAGGAGGGAAGGGGTGAAGATGGAGAAGAACAGGTTGAAGGTGGCCTTCCGAAATGCCTGTGCTGTCACCTTGGGAGCTGTGCAGCCCTGCCTGTCTTTGCACATTCTTCCTGTTGCTAACGTAAGGACTGAGACCTGCAGCTTGGGCAAAGCAGATGGCTGCAGAGAGGCTACCTCGGCTTGAGCTAGCCATACTGCGAACAACATGGGGCTTAGCCCTTCTGCACCCACGCACCGTATTTCACGCAGCCTGTGGGATTCCTCTCCCTTCCAGATACACTTTTCCCAGTGTCTCGCTGGTAAGGCTGCTCGCTCGCTCGCTCGCTCTCTCTCTCTCTCTCCAGACAAGGGAAGGTAAGAGCTGACAGCAGGACAATAAACGTCCAGGGACAGCAAGTAGAGAGTCCAGAAGAAAATAAGACAAGGGTGAGGACACACCCACCATCAATTCCCTGCCTTAAGGATTATCTGAAAGTGAGTAAATGATCTATGAGGAGGGCAGGTGTCTTCAGTCATAGCATTTAACTGATGTCCGTCCACTGTGGCCTGAGAGTCCAACCCCGGCCTCTTTCCGTGCCAGTACAGCATCAAGTGACGCTGTGGCTCCCACAAACCATGTGGGTCGTGGTGGCTTCGTGCGGTGATAAGTACGCGTAGCACGTGCTTGGATGGGAGTCTAGAGGTGCTACAGCAGCTACGGCTTTCACTAGGAGATGGTGTGATCACTGGGTTTGTTGCTCTGCTGTGGCCCAAGAGCCTGTGCAAGCCCAGCTCAAGGGTTTCTTGAGGGCCTTGCATTTGTCACTGCCCTGATTTACAGCTCTTAAGGAGTTTGTGGGTGAATCCAGCTTAATTTTTCTAATTTCCCTCTGCTTTGTGGTTTAGGACTGGCATTCCAGGATGCCCAGCTGGTGGCAACATTCGGCAGAGGGACGTGGGTGGGCTCAGTCTGACCAAATTGGAGCTTCTGAATCTGTCCCAGGTCTTCCTACTTCACGCTGCACTTATTCTGAGTGCAGCTTTTGCAGTTATTTGCCTCTTGGTGTGTCCCAAGCTGGTGACTGCTTGGGCAACAAGCAAAGAAATGCAGCAGTGCATCTGTGCCAGAGCGCTCTTGCTGCTGTGAGCATGATTGACAATTAGTGATCGTTTCTGCACGTCACCCTCCAAGATGCCTGCTCTGTGGTATCAGCTGGTTACTGGTCCTCTCTGTCCCCTCTTACCTTTTGCTCTTGGTGTTACCGCCGAGTAGGAAGCGCCGTCATGGTAATGTTGCCTTTCCCTCCCGCACAGGAGTCCTGGCTTAAGGGCATGAGGTCACTTGTAGATCTCCATGAAAACGTCTCATAAGTGGCTTTTTTTCGGTGTAGGGGATGGAGGAGGGTTATCTCTTGAGGTGGAGAATTTTTGTGACACAATATTTTTTCTGGCCAGAAAAAAATAAAAGGAGAGAGAAAAAAAATGTTGCTGAAAACGAGAACTTAATTTTTATTAACGTTTGTAACCAGGTGCAAAATAAATAAACGATTATTGTTTGGAAAAAAAAAAAAATCTGACCATCCATCATCTGTACAGATTCTTTTACTTTGTTTTACAGATTCCTTTCTCTCTGCAAGGTTTCCTGGGTTCTGTGAAGATACCAGCTGGAAATTAGTCACGAATGCATGCTTCTGAGGTGCTCTCATTGCGCCTACATGAAGCAGGATGGAGCGGTGGAGAGATGTCCCAGTTAGCAGAGAACTTCAGGCAAATTGCTGTGATTTACCTCATCCCCATTCAGCTGTGCCAGCACGGGAAATACAGTGTGACTGTATTTGCAAGGAGCTCATGTCTCCAGAATGCCCCTTGAAAACCTCCTCTGGTTTTGTGGGGAGAATATTCCCACCACTTTTCCGGAGCTGTTTCTGTGGTGCTAAGCTGTTCACGATGCTTCTTCCAGAGCCAGCCCCTTTCTACCATGTGAGGTGAGATCCCTTTTTGCTCCCTGAGTTTGCTCTAGCTTTCAGTGGCTGCAGTACCAGCCACCTTTCTCCCCAGGTGTCCTCCAGGCAGTCATACCCTTTCACGGACTTGGTTTTCCTCACATGGTTGCCATATTTTTCGTGCCTCTCTGACGCCCGCAGAGCCCGGACCATAGGGGCAGGTTTGAGCCAGGCTGGTGAGCATGGGCATGAACTGCTCACAGGCTCGTCACCTCAAATCTTGGTTGTGCAGGAGCAAAGGCGTATGCATGAGAAGGAGAAAATCTGAAACCTTGTAAATAAAAACAGCTGCAACAGACCATAACTATATTATTTTCCTCCACCATATGAAAGCCAGCAGTGGGCTGAGGGACGCCATCATTAATATAGGCATCTAATTTGTGGCCAAGGCACGAACAAGTTCGTTGCTGACTTCCCTCAGGATTTAGAGACATCTGTCATTATTGCTTTCTGTTGGACCAGGAAGGGCTTATGCTAGAATCGATTCCCAGTGGCAATGGTGCTCTCCGGTTCCGTCATTATGTACTATTATAAACAATAGCAATAATCATCGTGTCACTGTTTCCAAGGCAAGCTTTGCTGTCTTTGAATTGGCAGTCTTTCATCTCCAGCTCAGCAACAGGCAGATGCTTAGAGGTCAGAGTGTTTTGTTGGGTCTGCAGTGACAGGTAATAATCTGAATTTTACATTATCCTCCAAGGATCACACTCCGGGCCCCTCTCTAGCAAGAATCATGCAGGCAGGTAGCACAGAACAAAATCTTCCTGCCTTTTTTTTGCCCATTTAGTGACCTGTGCCGTGCAGGGGACTCATGGGACCTGGCAGAATACAGCTTTGGTTTACTGCATGCTAGGGGAAAGGGGTGGTCCCGTTCCCATTGCCCTAGAAAATAGTACCGTTCCTAGAGAATGCCGCAAAGACGTGGCTGACTGAAATATTCATCAAGACCTCCTCTCTGGATTAAGGAGGGCTTTTATTTTTTTGTAATCGGTTCAGTGTTTTACAGCTAAAACTGAGACAGAAGCTTAAGAGCTTTAAACAATGAAATGTGAGGAAGTGTTGGCATGGATGGGCCATCTTGCCTCTTCCTCGAGCCCATGCGCAGCTCCGCTTGGCATTAACCTGGGGAGAAAATCTGGGCCTCAGCCTTAAAAGATAATCGAATGAGTTAATGCATGAGTGGTGCTCCCTGAGGCTGGGGTCGGAGAGGGGTCTCCAAAGGCAAAGCCACCTGAGACGTCGCGCTTGCACAGCCTCGTTCCAGCTGGACAGCACTGCTGGAAAATGATTGTAGGTAACTGCCCAGCACTCGGAGAAGCTTGTTGCTATTCAGCATCTGCAGTCAGCTGCTGTCTGCTCCTTCGCTTGGGCGAGTCTGAATCCCAGTGAATCCTTGCTGTCCTCCGCCTCTGCCTTGGTCTCCCTTGTTTGGTCTCCGTCACTCTTGGCTGCCTCTTATCCTTCTCTGTCAGTCATAGCAGCTCTTTTTCTCTCTCCCTCGGTGTATTAGTCTCATATCACAGAGCAACTTTCCAAAGCAATAACCTCACCTCCCACCTCTACCTCCTTGTAGGTAATGCAAGAGGCAGCCATCGACCAAGAGGCCAAAAAAAAGACCTACGAGACAGATCGCTTCCTGGCAAAGGTGGCTTTTTCTGTCCACCATGGAAACGCAGCTGCCCACAGGGTTATCGTGCTGTCAGGGAACAGAGTCTACCTAAAGCCAGGATGGCGAAGGGAAGCTCGTATGAAGTCCCTGCTGGGCACCAGCAACTTTGCACCTTTTCCTTTCCAGTAAGTGCTGCAAAAGACATAAGAATACTTCATCTGAGGAAGGGCAACTCTTCCCCAGGTTTCTGGATCAGATCCTCCGGTGGTGTAAATACAAAAGTGCTAGACTGCTTTATTCGAGCTGCAGCAGGTGAAAAATACTTTTTCTGAAGCATTTTCCTGCTTGGATTTTTTTTCTTCTCTTCCTCCAACTGAAAATGTCATCACTAAAATGCAGATGTGCCGCCTGCCACACCTTTTCCCTTCAGGGCAGGGCAGGGAGAGGTAGCCGGCAGGATAGCTGAGAAACAGCGGATACAGACAAAAACGCTACACGTAAATTCTTGTAAATAAGGCAACCAGCGCTCTTGGCCAGGCCTCCCAATACCCCCAAAGCGCACAGTGAGCATCCTTCAAAGGCATGGGGCAGGTGGAACCAGCAACATGGGCATGTGCCAGATGTACCTAGAAGGAGAGTGTTTTAAAGGACAGCTCTGCAGCTGGTGTACATGGCTCTGCTGAAGTCCAAATGTCCCTGTTAAGCCCAGCATCTTGGGTGCTTTGCTGTGGGTATGATGGGATAAGCACCACAGCTGCGGTCCTAAATAACCAGGAGTGAAGGGACTTGGGCTGAAGAGATCTTCTTAAACATTTCCGTTACTGCCAGGTAGGTAAGCTTGTATTTGAAAACACCTTCTTCCAAGTGAGCCATCTGTGCTGTTTTCACTCAGAATCATAAACACTTAAGGGTCACCTGCTTTCTTTAATCTCCGAAGGCTCTTATTGGTCTGAGCTATGCAGCTTATCAATTATCTTCCTCGTTCCTTGTCCGTACCGACATAGTGGTGTTGTGACTGCTTTTTATTTTTATTGTTTGTATGCTCTCAGTCACTAGCTTCAAATATTCTGTAACAAGGGAATGCGGTTTCCTGATCACCTTCCTTCATTAAGAAAACTTAATTTTAGTGCTGACGGGAAATGAATTGGATTAAAGAAAATAAAGCCACCTAAAGCAGCCATAAGGTTTCTGGTTAGATTAAATATTAAAATTAATAATCCAGTGCTGCATTCAGCCCCCTGTATTTATGTTAATATTTAATTCAATAAAAACACATGTTTCAGAACAGTTTCCCATTTGTTTAAAGCCACAGATGAAACTGCAATTTCTGCATAAGCTGGAACAATACATAGCTAACTGTTTTATGGTAATGAGGAAGGATAGCAGCTCAAAAATCCTCTACCTAGAAGGGAGGGGAGGTTTTAGCAGCGGGAAAGCGAGAGGATGGTAAGGCTGCAGCAGAATGCAAATCCTGGTTGCTGAAGGAAGGCTTGACAGCTAGAAAAGAGGCTGAAGGTGGGCAGTACACAATGCAAACCCCAAAGGCAGTAAGTCCTCTTAATGTGGCAGCTGTTTTAGTTTTGAAGTGTGTTTCACTCTCGTTGCACTGGGCTGTATCTAGAGAGGTAGCGGTAGAGGGCTTTCAGATGTTTGCTACTGGGAAGGAGCTGGGTCAATGCTGGGACCAACAGTCAGGAACAGGTCCTGGGCTGGGAGGTCTATGCCAGCTGTCAGAACTGACCTGCTCTAGGTCACGTTTCTTGGAAGTGCCCAGCTTCGGTTTTGACCGATTTCCAAATAGTAAAAATATTAGACACCTTCACTCGGACTCAGTCTTTTGCCATGGAACACCCCTGGAGGCCTTACAGCCTCACTGCTGTTCCTGTCTGGGGAGTTTTCTTTAGTGAACCCCTCTGCTAGCAGAAAAGTAGAGCAGTGGATGTGTTGCCACATAAAGTTTGCGGTTTAGGTGTGAGCTGGGACCAGACCAGGAGGTGGGGTTCTGGTTTGAGGCTGGATCCCCTGATGAATTCTCCCCTGATGGCTCTGAGACATGATACCTGCAAACTGTGAATACCAGGCAAGGTTAGCTAAGGAACGAGCTTTACCAGAACCAGGAGCTCATTCCCTTTTCTAGTGCTGAATCAAACCTAACTGAAGTAGACCTAAACCTCTGCTGCAGTCCTGGGATTCAGTCTTAGCATCCCAAAGGCAAAGAGAATCAGTTGCCTTGGAGGTTTCAGTTTTCAGCATGGAAAAATCAACTGGGAGGAACTTGAAAAGTCCTATTCAGCTATTTCCCGATTCCAGAGGAGCGGTGGGCAGAGCCTCTTGCAGAGGATAATGCTTGGGTATTGCAGATTGGGGGATATTAGAACAGCCGTCTGCTTTCCCAGGGCAGCCAAAATGTTGAAGAACAGCATAATTATGTTGTCTGACATCCCAAGGAGGAAGAAAATGGAGTATCTAACAGTGATCAGGAAAACTTAAAATGCTTTGGAGGTGGAGTATGAATGAGTTTTCCAGAGTTCAGCTACATATCCAAACTTCCCTAAACCTTTTGGGGCCTAATTAAATTTAAGGGGCTTTAAGAAAAAAATCTACATGGAAGATAATACTTTTTTATATTAAGGACCTGCTTCATGAAACAGAGTGTGTATAAAATAGAAATACAGGCCCTGCAAAGGAAGAGAGAAAAGACACTAATGAACAGTGTCTAAGTGTTAATGAATCACATTAGCATTCCATTACCTGCAAATATTATAAATAGATCAACCAGTTTCAAGTTCCCGTTTCCCCAAAGAACTTTGTGATTTCTGAAGGTGGCCTGGTGGGGGTAGTCCTATCTTGTAGAGGGGGAAACTGCAGCAGGAGCTTGTGACCTGGATTCACCCCGGCCAGCCGAGCGCTGTCCTGCCCTGTGTGCGCGCGTGGAAAATGCGTAACTCCGGGAAGTGCTTCCCTACCTGCATCAAGGATTTTTTGCTCCTCTCCCGACCCCTTTGTTTTCTTGCTGGTGTGAGGTCTGTTTGGGATCTGGCATTGATATCTGTGATGGAGAAGGCTCAGCTTAGAGTGGGATAGGACGAGGAACATTGGGCTGGTTTAATGGTAGTATTGCTAAATACACGTTCGTGGATGTCTCTGTCAGCTCAAAGGTATGCTGTGGAGAAGGGGATTACTGTATTTTATTTGGGCTTAGTTTATAGAGCCTGACTTTTGGAAGGGAGGTGGAAAAGAGATAAAATGCCAGTGTACTGGGGAGGGGAGAGCAGGCGTGGAGGGTATGCCAAATTCACAGAAGAGCACTCCTTTCTTGTTATTATTTGGAGTGATCCTCCACGTAGTCATGATAGACATGTTTGATAATATTCTGGATAAAGAAGCAGGGAGGAGGCGCTACTAATAATTACAAAGAACGTCAAGAAGGAAGAACTAATGTATTTTAACATATGGACTGGGACTCATCTTTCCTAACCAATCATGTAAAAATTAGGTGCATGCTCATTTTTGTGCTCTCTGTAGTCCATGCGGAAGCAAGTTCCTTCTGGAAGACAACTTTCCCTCTCCCGAAAGAGGTAGCTATGACAGATGGGTTCACTTGTTCTCTGGAGGAGTCTGTCTTCTCCTATTTTCAGTAGAGGGAGTACAGACAAGTTTTAGGCGAAATACTTAACTTTCAGTTGGTGCAGTCAGCAGAGATGAGCCCTCCTCCCTCCTGGAAGAAGTACAAATAACTTTGTAATTTCACAAAATTTCATGACTGTTAGTCTTCATTTTTTTAACAGCCCTAGCTGTCAGGAATAGCTGGTGTATTTGAAGAAGATGGGTCATGGTTGTAATATGGAGAGAAGAAATGGCATGTAACTGCTGTTTTCTGGCTGACAGAGAGTGATTGCATTTTGCGGTGGCTCTCTGGGGCTTTGGAGTCTATGTCCAGGCTTTTAGAGGACATTAGGCATTGGCCTGCCCAGCATGGCTGGACTTAGGTGAGTTAGGAGCCTTGTTTCCACATTCAAGAATTTGCTGCAGTCTTACTGAAAACCAGTAGGGCTTTATCTCCTACATGCCTACATAGTAGAAGGAAATGGATTCATGGCTCCTAGGCTATATATGGGTGCTGCCGAAAAATATACTTAGTGCACCAGCAAAGAAGGTCAACACATACAGCAGATTCTCCTCCATAAGGTTGGAGTAGCAAATAAGAAAGTATTTTCTCTGTCCATTTGCCTGGACAGTTGGGGTTTTTTTTTTGTTGTTTTGGAGGAGAGTGTAAATCTGTTTTACGTCTGCTATTGAGGAAACCTAGATTCGCAGGAGGTGGGTTGCATGGCAGGCTTTGTGGAAGCAGAACCAGACGTTGTTTCGGGCTGGATTCACGCTCTGCTCCCTCCGCGTTTCTCATGCTTGGCTGGGCCAAAATGAAAGCATTGCTTCCCTGGGAGACGAATCTTGTTCCAGGCTGGGGATGCCAGCATGCCCTTGCAAAGGAGAGGCTGTGTCCTAGAAGAGCTGTGGTTGGCCGTGTTGCTACGTTTTCCATCGCTTTGTGAACAGATGAGGAAAAAGAAGACACAGATGACAATATTTTGCCATCTTTTACTGCTGCAAGCTAGGGTGAGCAGATTTGTTGTGCCGGCCACGTCTCTGCAGGCTTCTGGCACGTCGTCCTTGGACCACGGTTCGTGATGGCCCTCCTAGGGAGCAGTCAGGACACGCATCTGCATACCGACATCCATGTTCGTACTGTCAGGGAGCGATCACCTATCCCAGGCTGAGCATCCGGCTGGTTAATAGTGTTTCAGCTTCACTGGCTGCAGTATGGGAACAGCCTCCATACTCCCCCACTGCCTAAGGCCATCCAGAGTCCAAAAGCCCTTTGATTTAGAGCAAGCAACATCTGCCCGCCCACAACGAAAGATGCAGCAGAATTGCAAATGTCCAAGCCTACTAGGATTTCGCTGGAGCTTCAGCAGCCCTGTGCTGTTTTCACCTTAGGGGTTTAGACTGAGCAGCAAGTCCAGTAATGAACTGCTACTCTGGAAAATAAGACTTTCATTAGGTTAGGATTCTGCCAGGCTATTTGCGTTCCTTCATAATGAACCATGATATTGTGCCAAAATGTGGCGTAGAGCGGAGTGCTGCTTATCTCACTGCTATCATTTAGCCTCTTATCGCAATCAGATTCTCCCGCCTCCGTCAAATACTACGGCTGGAAGAAGAGGAGGGGGAAGGTGCAGGGCTGGGATAAAGTGTCTGTCTAGCTGGAGAAGCTTTTTGGGAGTTTGAATCCCCGAAAGAGCCAAACTGTCCGTCAGCATCTTTAACTGGTGAATGTAACGCTGTCGTCTTGTTATGAATGTCCTATGAACAAACACTGATTTTTTTAAATGTATTCATTATTCATAACTAGCAGGTACTGAAATTGCAATGTGTTTTAGTTCGGGGATGAAAACATTAATAACTGCATTGGCTAAGCACGGAAAGATCATTTGTTTTACAAATATGCAGAAAATTCAAACCAGCTGGGATTAAAGTACAGCATTTCTTTGTAGACAGTGCTTTCAGGGCAGGTTTTACCATGAGAAAGAATTGGCTTTATGCAGCCCTCTCATTCCACAAACAGACTCTGCCGGACAGTTAACCCACCAGTCACCAACATAAGCTGCTGGGATACTGGTGGTAAAGAGCAACAAGATCACATGATCAGATTTTTGCCTCACTGACATTTTGGTTGACCTATTTGCACTGCAGTAGTCGTGGTTTGGATGGGATGCTCCATGGCAGGGGGACTGGACATCCCGTTTTGGAGAAAATGGCTGCCTTGTATCCCTCCCGGAGAGGTCTGCTCTGCTGCATAGAGCCAGGGCTGAGCTGGCGGTCCTGCTGGGTTCTCACCAGCTCCACATCCTCCGTGGAGGTCGGGTCCAGCCAGGCTGCTGCCTGGGGAGAACCTGCCATGGGGTGAAGCAGACTGTCCCAGAAAGGGCAGGTGATTGATTGACAGCATGTGATTTTTTCCTGTCGAAAGCTGCCAAATAAAACATATGTACAGACAGCCTCGGAGGTGGTGCACCAGTCGGGACAGGTGCAGGTCCCGGGCTGTCCCGGGGCATTTTCCTCCTCAGGAGACTGCTTGGAGAGCTGCTGGCCA